GAAGGAAACAAAATGGGAAGGTAGATCCCTGTGTTAAGCCATAAGCATGTTGTTCTCTCTCTAGGTAAGAGTTTGCCTATTTCCTAAGAGCAGCAGAGGAAGCTGTTTTCAAGGACCACCACTGACATCTTTAACAAGCCAAAAACCCCTTCCCTCTTCATTTGAGACCAACATTCATATTTAAAAAGGGAAAGAATAATTAGTTATGTCATTAACTTTTCTTCAGTTTGATGCCAAGGAAAATACTGAAGAGTTTGATCATGGAGAGCCCTTCTTCATGTCCTCTCCTCCTGCTTTTTTTTTTTTTTTTTTCTCCTCAGCTGTGATTTTAGAGATGCTAGAAGTTTTTATGAACATGAACATTCTGAAAACATCCTTAAGGGCAGGTAACAGCTTCTCCTGAAGAAGTTCATTGCACTAATGGCATGCACAGCAACAATCAGTTCTTTAGACGATCTCATTCAACATTTTGTTAGTGTCTTGTCCTACCTATCATCAAACATTTTTGATTCTCTATTGTCATTTATGCTTGTTGGTGGCAGTTTGGTCTAGCTCCAGCACTGGATCAGTGCAAATGGTTTTCATCATGGTTTTGTCCTGTTGTGAAAGTCACAATAAACGTATTGCTCTCAGTGATCAGGTGACCAGTTCCCCTAAATGGCATTTCATTTGTATTTCTGCCAAAAACGGTAAGATCTAAAATGCCAGCATTCCCCACGAAAGAGAAATTTAAAATGTTGATCAGCTTTTATCCCAAGTGTTTGCTACATATTGTACATCCCAATATGTTTACACAGTTGCTTGGGCACAAGGCAACAAAGCCGGTCCACACTGTTCTGTCAGCTTCATGTTAGAGTGAGTTTCAAAGCTTAGGAGGTGAAGGAGGCAGTGCTCTGCTCCCCTTCCAGCTCAGGGGTTTCTGTTTGAGTAGTCATGTTGTGTACTGTAATGCTTCTGATTTGCTGTGTTAGAACCAAGGATTTTTTTAAACAATTGTTGAGTGGCCATTCAGCTCTTCCAAGAAGTTCTAGCAAGTCACTGCAGTTAACATTAAAAACAGCTCTCAGAAAAAAAAGAGAAACAAAGAATCAGAAAGGCAACTAAGTAGAATTTCTACTAGGGTCAAGCACCCCTGATCTGACCAGCACAAGAGCTGACATATTGATTAGCCCAAGAGTCCATCTGATCCACCTTTCTGATCTCTGTGGTACCGAGCAGAGTGTGTAGGAAGAGCGCAAGAACAGGAGCAGCACACACCGATCCTTCCTCCAGCATCCAGCCACAAGTAGCTTAGCAGCCAAGCTAGAAATAATTAATACCAGAGTTCTGCTGATTTTGTATTCCGCAGTTTAAAGTAGATGTGAAGGTTTACAATGTTTACAACAATTTAAAGGAAAAATCGAGACAGGAGGCGGACTATTCGAGATGCATTAGCATTCACATTTTTTGCTGGCTGTGTTCAGGCAGCGTAGGATCTGCACAGCCTGCACAGGCTGCCACCTCCCCAGTACGCCAAATCCTCCTCAAATATTTGCTTTTTAATCAACAAGCGATTTGAACTGCACTGTTTGTTCTCCTTCTTGTTAAGAGCTCATGTTCTGCATTTGAAAGATGAAAGCCTACAGTTCTTTCACATTTAGGGTTGTGTTTCTGAGCCACCTCATTCAGCACTTTTCCCATTTCCTATTACAGTTCTCAGAACTAATTATACTGCCGATCCCTTTGCATTTCCCGGGTTACAATTTGCAGTAGTGTAAAAACGAATTAAGCAGTGTTATCAGGTAACTCCCGCTGAAAAGAAGTGTACTGGCTCCTCGTTACAATTTAGCATTGCTTTTGTGAAATCAGTAATAGCATTAGGCATTCTCAGAGGAAAAAAGGGGAAAAATGATGGTGATTTTGGTTATTGAGACAAGATAAAAAGGGAATCTGGTAGGAAGGAAAGGAAAATAATCACTCAATAGTTGTGAAAATAGCTGTATTTTCACTGAATTGAACAAATCTATGTCTAAAACTATCTCAAAAGATTATTTAATACCTTCTCCTCCTCCTCCTCACTAAAGGCTAGTTAGATGGCTGGCAGATGTTATCTGATGTGTTATTGATCCAGTGAAGGCGATTCCAAAGGTCTGTTTCAGTGCTTTATTATTCTTATATTTTGATTTTTTGTCCTAATATTTAACATAAATTTCACTGAGTTCAAATAAAAGCATCATTTCTTCTCCTACCTTTCATCATGCCTTGGCTCATTAACCACCTTTGCCAGCAAATCACTGTGCAGTCAGAGACATCTATAAGAAAGTCTGGGCAAGGGTTATAAAACAAATCCAGTTCCTCTACAAATCACGTTTTCTAAGCTTCCTCTTGGTCTTGCCGCCTTCAGGAAGAATTATTCTTCTGTCTCTGTTACATTCAGTGCCTGATCAAAACCAAACAGAACTACATAACTGCCTTCTGTGTCCTTCACTGTACCCTTCAAATGATTTAGTTATTTATAACATCCTACTCGGGTTCCTATTTATTGTAATTACATATTTTTCTCTGCAGCACTACTGCCTAGACAATTAGGCCCCATTTTGTATTTGTGCCTTTGATGTTCTGGTTTTACAGAGAATACTTGATATTTTTTATGAAATTTCCTGTTGTTGTTTTCTCCAACCCATTCAACACTTTCAATTTTGATCCTGTCATTAAATGTGCTTGTAACTTCTTTAAACGTGCTGTCAGTAAAGAGCTTTTATAAGGACTATTTTTATTCCATTATTCAAGTTATTGTGACAAATATTACTTAGCTTTTGGGGCAAAAACCTACCCATCTCCTTGCATTTATTCCTTCTACTTTGATAAACTTTTATTAGGAATGATTGGTTAGTTTTTCACTAGATTATACATTCTTATGTAAGAAAGCAAAAAAAAAAAAAAAAGACAAAATTACTACAAAATAACACATCTACTTTTTATTTCTTCTTCATCCATTAAACTGGCTGCCTTAACAAAGAATAAAAAAATCAGATTATTTAACATAATATACTCCTGACACATCTATGTTGGATGCTCATGGGTGATGCTGGGAGTTTATTTGTAAACACTTCCCAGGTTAATATAGTTTAGTCATTTTATTATTTTTCTAATGGCTTTCTGGATGTTGAGCTGATGTACTCAGCATTTCCTCAAACCTCCTGCTATCCTCCTAATCTACAAAGGGTAGCGGGAGAGGAAGGATAGATAATTTTTTTTTGGTATTTGGACCTACACACACACACACTTGTTGATCATACAGGAAACCTCATTATTTTCTGTGTAATTCAGTGACATAATTGTTGCTAATATTTCAAGGAATGTATTTCTTTGAATGTTTATAAACAGAACTGAAAAATAGTCTAGGAACTATTTTCACTTGACAGGATACTGCATCTGAAAACACACATGCAAAGATGCAAAACATCTGAAAACACAGAGAATAAGAAAACGCCCACGACCCAAGGGTAAGTTATTTAAACAATGTTAGCTTTGTCTACAGTATGCTAATGTATATACAACACATGCTTCTGCCAGCTTTTATTTCTTTAAAAATAAGTTTGCAATTTCATCCATAGCTTAGCCCATGAAGATACTGCAGAGGTCACAGCAAAACAAAACAAAACAAAACAACCAAACAATCTTATACTGAAAGAGATTTTCTTTCATGTGTTTTCCTGTGACTACATACATCTGCACTAGCTCATAAAGATCTGCTTTGAAAGAGATTTAGTCTTCATCTTCCTTTTTCTCCTATCATAATCATTGCAAATGCTAAACACAAAAACTAGTCTGAGAGCAGGTCAGTATAAAAATGCTTAGCTTTGCTTTCCCCTGTACTTTCATGCTTTTCAAAGACAGTATTTCCCATGAGTGTACAATTAAGACTGAACACATTTACCTTTTGTAAGGTACATGTGTATCTGTCCAAACCTATACTGCCGAGACTAAAATTAGAAGTGGGGCATCAGCCTTTATCTTCTCTACTATGTTCAGTCTGGTTTAGAAATACAGGAAGGAAATACAGGAGAAACCAGAAGAAAACACAGGAGAAATCACAGGAGGAAAATCTACACAAGACCTTCCCTCAAATGAAAAGAATGGTAATAATTTAAAAAAAAAAAAACAACAAGAACAAAAAACTCCACCACTTGAAAATTCTGAATTGTGTTGTATGAGGTGCCTTTCCTGTTTCCCAGGCAACTTCAGAGAGAAAGAAAAGATGTGGTGTATTGAGAGATATATATACACACACACATATATATATATGATGCATTGAGTGAAACAAAACTCAGAATCAACTCTGTAATAAAGTGGAATTAAAATAACATGAAATTACAGTTTTCCACTATTGCAAATTTGGTGGTAACATTATAGGTAATGAACGGGCACTTGCTCATGGAATCATAGAACGGTTTGGGTTGGAAGGGACTTTAAATATGACCCAGTTCCAATCCCCTTGTCACGGGCAGGGGCACCTTCCACTAGACCAGTTTGCTCAGAGCCCCATCCAACCTGGCCTTGAACACTTCCAGGGATGGGGCAGCCACAGCTTCTCTGGGCAACCTGTTTGAGCACCACACCACCCTCACAGAAAAGGATTTTTTCCTAATGTCTAATCTAAACCTACTCTCCTTCTATCTGAACCCACTCACCCTTGTCCTGTCACTACACGCTCCTGTAAAAAGTCCTGCCCCATCTCTCCTGTTAAGTTCCCTTCAGGTACTGGAAGGACCAAATTAGCTCACTCCAAAGCTGGACAACCCCAGCTCTCTCAACCTTTCCTCATGGGAGAGCTGCCCCATCCCTCTGATCATCTTGGTGGCCTCCTATGGACTAGCTCCCACAGGTCCTTCCTGAGCTGGGGATCTTTTCCCTTCCCTTTTCCGCTCGGCAGTGCTGGCTCCAGGCACCCGCCGGTCCCGGGGCGGGATCCATCCCGGCTCCCCTTCCCTCAGGGCGGCCCGGGATCCCCGCCCCTCCTGCCCGCCCGCCGGAGGCGGAGCCGCGCAGGACTCGGAGCCGCCACCGCTGCCGGAGCAGCCGCAGCCTGCCCGGGGCCATGGAGGAGTTTCACCCCCACAACGACGAGGTAGGGGCCGCCACCCCCGGGGTGTGTGCGGGGCTGTGCCGGGGCTCTGGGCCAGCCCGGGACCGAGCGGCGTCAGCTCCGCGGCTGCCGCCGGCCTGCCCAGTGCCCGGGATGGGTGTTCCCTCCGGGAAGGGGCCGCGGTGCCGGGCGCTGTCAGACCGCGGCCATTTTTTTCCCTGGGAACCCCCCACCAGCTTCCCTGGAAAATCCCTCCTTCCCCCCGCCCCCATCATTTCCCTTGCTGGGGAAAACCCAACAAGTGCCGGGCCGGGCCGGGCCAGCCCGGGCGGGGGAGCCGATCCCTCCCCAGGGCGCCGCCTCGGAGCTCTGGCCCCCGGTTTTCATTTAAAAAAAACCCCCCAAACCTAACTTAAACATTAATGCCCTTGAGGTTTCTGCCCCTGCCCGAGTGTTTGAAATTCACGGCTAGGAAGAGGCGGGCGGCACGACGGCACGTGCCGCGTTCCCTTTGGAATCCAAGCCGAGCGCCGATGAGTGGGAATGAGTAGGAAATAGGAGGAATTAAAACTTGCAAGCTTTTCCTGCGCTCGGGAGAGATATTCGGGTAGCCTAATGACTGTGCAGACTAGGTTTTTTATGCTAGTGTTACAAAGCCTTTTGGAAGCAAGATGTAACCTGCGTACTAAGTCCGTGACTCCCATAAAAACACAGATTATAAAACCCAGAATAAAAGATTTGCCATTTAATTTTTCTCGGAGAATATTTCCCATGACAAACAGTAGACAGCAGTGGGATCCAGTCACTGCAGAAACTGTAAGTTGAATCAACCTTACCGATGCCTGAGCTTTTTGTCCTCAGTCAAACATCCCTGGCAAAGCAATACCAAACAACATAAGCATGGAGCTGGGGGAAAAAGTAAGATTTTTAGAATTATACTAACAGACCACAATGGAAATAACCAGACACGAGGCCTAATAGTTATGTGTTCCTTAGAGTAAAACTGTATAATTGGTTTACTTTTCAGTCAAAAATAATAATTAACTTCTGTTACAGATGATCTTCAATGCTGATGAGGCCCACAACATAGTTAAGGAGGTAGGTTTAAGCAGCTGTATTTCAAAGAAATTCTTTGCCTTATCTTACCTTGAAGTATAGTAAAAACACTTTCATTGACAATCCCACATAAATTCAATCTTATATAAAAGTATTATTTTTATCGAATAAAGACAGAGTTTATTTTGGAGCTGCTTCAAGCTTCATTTAATTGGTGTCTTCAACTACCTAAAGAGGAGAGGGTAGATGAGAAGAGAGCCAGATTTGCATCACAGAGGAAAGAGGAGGGGTGGCAGCCCCAAGTTGCAAGGGAAATTCACCAATTTTTTTGCCCTTTTATCCAGCTAGAGAGAAGCTAATAACTATAGAGGCTGGAGGGAGAGCTTGTGGAGTATCCATTCTTAGAGATTTTTAAGACTTGACAAGGCCTTGGACAATGTAATCAGACTTGGAATTTAGCCTTGGCTTGTGTGGGAGGTTGCACTCCATGAGCTTGTTGTTCTAGCAGTGCTTTTGAAAAACATTTTTTACACAGGAAGAGCAGGCTGACAAGTCAGTAGCCTGATGGTCTGAGTTAAATACCTAGTAACTAGAGTGTGATTAATGAAGAGCCTGTGGCTTACAGGTTTTGCAGGGAAGCAAAAAGCATTTTTAGAAAGGAATTCCTGGAGTGGCTCTGCAGGTCCTTTTCCATTTGCCCTGTAAGGAAGGTAAAGCACTGTACCTTTGAGGCTGCCACAGTACACAACAGCAAGCTCTTGGATGTCAGATAAACGACAATTCAACCCTTTATGTAACTGTCCCTGCCTTGTAAAGCCAAACACGGTATGAGACAGACTCCAGACGCTGGGAGTAAAGCCAAATGTTTCTGCCTCTGATTGGAAGCTTAACCAGAGCTCTAGCACTGGCTACATTTCTGGAAGGACCAAAATCCCTGAGGGGTCTTGTCCCTATTGTGTTTTGTGGATGTTTGTTTCCACTGACTCCTTTGGCCAGCTTTTATACACTGTGGTCAGAACTAATTGGGCTTTTCAAAATCTGGGGCATAAGGCTCTTACACAGCCTGGTAATGGGTGATTAGAGCATGGGATTCATCTTAACTGAAAATCAGAGGAGAACATAGTTTTGTTTTACTTACCTTTTCCAGATGTGTGTTTCTTAGCTGGGTTTCTCAATTTTAAGAAGTGAATCAATCAACATGTAATTCTGAATTTCTTAGGAGCAGGGAATGCAGTTTAAGAGTTACAATTACTGAGAAGGCTTTCTGTTCAATCATTTTAAGTTTAAGCAAGGGTTGGCCAATCAGTAGCTTTGGGAGAACATGCAATTTTCAGGCAGTTCAGATATTTCTTGTGCTGCAAGATATAATCTCTGAGCATCTCAAACATCTTCCTCATCTTTTGAGCTGGGGTGTACGTCTCACTATTGTCACTCTATCTCTGAAGATTTTGGAATTTTGCTCACAGGCTCTGAAAGGTTGGCCAGCCCAAGCTGATACTATTGATTGGAGTTGTACCATTTCCATTACAGTAGCTTCTGGAAGCCAGGCTGGAGTAGGCAGTCATTAGAAACAGTGGGATGTGTTAGTACCTTCACTGGTAAATACATACTTGGTACTTAAAGTATATGGCTAAAATCTTTCCTGCAAGAAATGTTCAGTCAGGGCCTCTTTTTTATTCATGTAATATTGTGGTAAATGGGGAATAAAAATAAGTTTCCAAGAAGAGTCATTTTACTTCCCATTCAACGACTGATACCTGATGATCTCAAGTGATTTAAAGTAACTTAATTGCCAGAAAAAAATCCTCAGACTGAAACATTTTGAACCTTTGTATTTTGAAATATGTTTACTGTAACTAATTTTTTTCCTCTGTTTTAGTGCATAGAAAGTGTTTTAGGCAAGGCAGATTATAATCACAACAAAGTCAACCAGTGGACTGCTGCTATAGTGGAACAGTCGCTGACACATCTGGTGAAACTGGGGAAAACATACAAGTACATAGGTAAGTACAAGCAGTTGTACCACATGCAGTCGCAATAAATAATTGCTGAAAAGTTCATGTGAATGCAGTGCTGTACTCAGTAGGAAGTTTTAAACTGTAAGCAAACCACAGCAGATACCTGAACTCTTCTGTTATACAGATTTTTAGTAATACCTTGTGGTAAACCTGTGGCAGTTTTACCTGGGCTGAACATGCTGGTAACTCTTCACAGACATCTTAACAGATTATATGTTATGTGGTCTTCTCTGATTGCTAAACAAGCCCAAAACAATGATATAAAGTTTTTGGTATCAGTTCAGGCAATAATTGCTATATGAAATAAAATTATCAGTTGGATTAAGCTGCCTATAAATGCAAACATTTGGAACACTTTAGTCCTGTATGCTGTCACGTCCCAGTGTATTTATATATATATGTGGAAGGGAAAGTGAAATAAGTAGAAGTTTAACCCACTTTGGTCCTTTTGTGGAGTGTAGTGTTTGCACTCAGTTCTGTTTTGAAAGTCTTGGATTCAGATTGTCTCTGGTTTTATGACCATTGCAGGTCAGTCTAGAAATGCTGCATGTTACTGGAGTGTGGTTTCAGAGAGCAGGCAACAAGTAGTTTTGGGGAACAACTCTCATAATTGTGACTTCTGCTGTACCTGTGAGGACAGCACCTGCAGTCCTGTTCTGAGGTGCACATGACACAAGCTAATATCTAAGAAGTTTAAAAGATAAAAATCATAATCCTATTAGCAAGCATTTTGTTAAAGCCATTGTGTTAATGTGAGTAAAAATAATCACGAAATGAATACCAAGTTCTTGAGGAAAATACCGGGGGTGAGGGGTTGTCAAAATCAGTTTTAACATTGCTGAATGCCACGTGCCCGCCATTTGAAAATGTAATAGAGGCTTGAGTTCAGAAGTCCTGAATGATTCACCTCTTCTGCTTTAATAATGAATTCCTTGATTTTATGGCTGCATCTTGCAGTTACCTGTGCAGTGATGCAGAGGAGTGGAGCTGGTCTTCACACAGCAAGCTCATGCTTCTGGGATACCACAACTGATGGTAAGCTTCCCCATCCAAATAGAGAATTTGTAGTAAAAGAAATGTTACTTCTTGCTCAGCTGTAATATTTGTGTTGAACATTTTCAGCTGTGGCTTTAGAAGCAGCAGCTTTCAGAATTTACAATCCCAGCAGAAATGTTACCAGTCAGTGCCTGCACTAAGAGCAATTGCTTTGTAAATTATGAGAAGCAGGAATAGAAATGCCTTCCATTCTGAAACAAGAGTCAAAGCATTTAATCCTTATCAGTAACCATAGATTGGTTGAAGAACCATCACAGGCAGTAAAATGTAAACAGTAAATACAAGGGGTTAGTCCTAAACATATCTGCCTGGCTGCCGTGAGGAGAACAGAGCTTGGTGAAAAATAGAAATAGTTTGACTAACAGCATGTGTTTTGTCTGCTTAACTGTCAGCCAGGCCTTGGATGCATTGTAGTGTTTCAAAATTAGTTCTAAATACATTTTTTTCCCAGGTTCAGAATATCATGGGGAAACAGTATTAAAAAAATCTTTTGTCTGTGCCAGATTCAGAAAGGTCTTTATAGAGGAGCACACCAAGGCTTAATGTTAAAGCAGAGAGGGCATCAAAAAGTTATCCAAGGTTAAAAAAAATTGTGAAACAAGTACAGTGTAATCTTCATGTTTCCCTGGCTTGTAAGGTATTGATACAATAGAAGAGGAAAAATTACAGAAAGTAAATACAGTAGAATGTATTTGCTCCATTTTTTTTTCTGATTTCTTGTTTGATTATCCTGCCAATTTCAGTTTGGGATTTTTAAGGATTTTAAACTGTCTTAAGCATACAAGGGTCATGTTAGGTAACAAACAATGTACAAATTAATGAAAATGTTTTGAGGAGTGTAGTCAATTTATAAGCAAGATGACATAATATTATTTATCTTAAATCACAGCTGAAATATTCATACTAATTTGGCATCATTTACACTGTGATAAAGTGAATGTAGTAAAGACACTGGAATTCTATTTTTCATTTTGTAATAATCTCTTCTAGGAACCTGCACAGTGAGATGGGAGAACCGGACAATGAACTGCATTGTCAACGTGTTTGCTGTTGCTATTATCCTGTAGCTGACTGGAAGATAAAGATAAGCAACACCGAAGCCTTTAAAAAAAAAACAATTATCCAAACATATGGCTAAATGTTTCAAACTATTATTTATTTCTGTATGAGGAGCATACAGAAATTCTCTACAGAGAGCATACAGTCTAAGCCAGTTCTCATAGATTAATTATCTGAAAGCTAGCAAAAAAATTTAATTTATATATATATGTATGTATCTATCTATCTAAAGAGAAAGTTTTAGTAATTTAAATATTTAGAAGTATGTTAATGAGAAGATGCCACAAAGATTAATACAATTTATGTCAAAGCTAATATCAAAGATACTTTATTCAAAAAGAAAAAAACATATCAAATCAAAGGAAATGTCAAAGGGCAAGCAAGACCTCTCAGGATCATGGTGCATTTGGGACAAATTACAAACACAATTCAGAGTGGATATGTTATAAACAATACCGGTTCTTCATGTTTGATTAAACAAAGCTGACTTTCACTTTGGATGCTGGTGCCTGTGAAATTGCATGAGCATCATGTTTTGGTCAAGCATGAACATTTACATTGGCATTAAATCCAGTTAAGCTTTTCCCCCTGGAGGCAGAGGAGGACTTTGCTGGGTGAAATGTATCTAGTCCTAGCAGAGTTCTAATTTGTCTTCAAATGAAGAGCATAGTATTTGTTAGCAATTCAGGGAAACATGCTGGGGATCTGACACCAGCCCTCAATTCATCGCTTATGAATCCAAAAACATTCTGAAGGTACCTAAATTTGATTTTATTCCATGACTGTGGAATTTGTGACAAGCACTTTATTGATTCCTCATGCAGTAGCCAGGGGCTAGGGCAGTAAGACTGGACCCACATCACTCCAAGTAGGGTAAAAATGTTTGGTGAGAAGGCACACACATTTCTAGAGGCTCTTGTTAGCTTTGAAAGCAATCATGAGTAACTTATCTGTTGTTTATAAGAGTGTTTCCTACATTCCCTAAGTCTAGAATTAGATCTTAGTCCCATGAAATAATACTGTTAAATTTTGAGCACTAAGAGTTCCCCTCCTTTAAAGATTTATGCAAGTTCTTATCTTTGCTCATCTGATGAGTCTTAACTTGAAATATTCCACGTGGAAGAAAAACATTTGCACACACGGATGTATTTGCCGGATTGGGGCCTACATTTTCGTTCATTAATGCACAAATTATATGATAAAGAGATGTATTGATACCAAAAATGCCTAAATGAGTGCTGCCACTAAGTGGCAGCTACGTTAAGTTGTTTTCTCAGATGCTGCTTATGAACAGAATTTTTTCTTTATAACTGTATGTCTTTGGAAGAGACTGGTAACCACCTAACAGCTGCTGTAAGGCTGTTTTGGATTTCCAGAAATGAATATTAAAGCACTACTACACAGTTCTGTTTGTTTTGTTTTGTTTTGTTTTTTTCAGATAATTGACTATTAGGGTGTGTATCAAATGTCCTGTACAAAGAGCAAGCAAAAAAATGTTTTATTTCTTAAGTTGTGTATACATATGATGAGTATGACACTACAGAAGGAACATGTGTATATGTAATTCACAGTACTGTTCCAAATATCTTGCTTTGCAGACAAATAGAGTTCTGCTTTTACCTGAGTGCAAGTAAAATTAGGACTGTATTATTGCATTGGCATAACAGTGTAGCATGAAAATGTGTGTGTGTCCTACTGACCTTCAAATTTAGATTTATTAAGCATTATTTGGGTTGGGACAAATTTCTGGACTTTGTGCCAGCATCCAAGAGCTGAGATGTGGAACTGACAAAAATGCAGAACCTTCACTGATATTTGGGATTGTGCAAAGTGAAAAAAATACATGGGGTAGCAACTGGAAAAAGGTTTAGTTACATTTAATACAGTTTAAGAAGCGGGTGTGTAAAAATAACGGTGGCTTTTATCCCCCTTTAATGTGCCAACCCCTATATTTGGGTGCCATGGTCAGAAGAAATATTCCACACAGCCACTTGTAATCTCATTTGATATTTTTGCTTTACTTGAAAACAAGATACACTGAGTAAGACTATCAGTTTAATGAGGCTTGGTAAAGCTCCTGCTGCAGAAGAACCCTAGAAAATACTGCTTAATTACAGGACTGCTTCATTTTCATTTCTGCCAAAAAATTAAAGTCTTGCCTTAGTTGTGTTTTTGCCTTATGTTCTTGATCAATATAAATAGGAACTGAGAAAAATATTCCTCTTACTTTCCTTGACTTGTATACAATAGTGAGAACTTGGGAAGTACATTGAGGCTGTGTGTGTGCATTTTAGAGACAAAACCTTGTCAAAGGCTTGTTCCCAGACTAATTCCTTACACCTTGTCTGCTCAGACCTCTTCCTCTTACCACGTGTCTTGATGATGCAAGTTAAAGTTTTGTTACTATAGAAAGATTACTATGAAATTCTGGAAAAAGTATTTTTATTCTGTGTCATATCCTAGTGGACTTCACTTCTTTCCCATCTTTCTTTCCCCATCCTCTGTGGGTACAAACAGCTACTTGTATTTAATATAACTCCAAACGAATGCTGAATGCCATCAGCTGCTTTTCCAAGTAGTTTGTTTTCAAGGATAAAGCTATGAATTGCAGAATGTTAAAACCCACAACAACATTTCATTAGTGTTTTCTATCAATACAATATTTTCTTAGTTGTTGCAATCAGGAGAATGAGTCATCATTAACAATGGGAATTTTTTTAATGGGACATGAGGAGTTTGCATTAAGGTGCAGCCCATATGTATGTGGAGATATATGTTCCCATGTATGATTTCATGAAGAAAGACACCTGTTATTCTTCCCATGCAGATTTTGTTAATCTAGAGAAAAGTGAAAGTGAGGGACAGGATTTGTTATTTTTTCATTTCATTGCCGGCCAGGTGTCTGTCAGTAGCTCGTTGCCTTTCGGATGACTCTCTTCCCATTACACTCAACTCGATCAATGGAACAAATACAAATCCTGGTATGTTCAATTTAGATTCATGCAATCTAAAACACTTCACAGAAGACACTGAAATCCCAGCTTGTATCCAGCCAGAGATGGACGTGAATGTCAGCACACTGATATTTTAAATACACCATAAAAGCGAACATTAAGCACTGGTAGGCTATATGGATCAGTACAGTAGCTGCCAGTTAGAGAAAGATGGGATTTGTTCTAATACAGACAGCAGGTCCTGTAGTGAACAATTCTTGCCTGATCATTGGGATGTGCCTTTCTGCCTCCTGTGCAGCCTGACCAGGTGATTTTGTTCCCATTTAATTTGGAGAAGGATTTTTTAGCACAGTCATGGTGTGACACAAGTACAGAGTCAGACTGCACCCCCATCAGAATATCCTGAGCCAGGAAGTCCTGTCTGTGTGCCTGCAAGACGCCCAGCTCAAAGCCAGCCCTGGTTTGTCTCTCAGGGAGTATCCAAGCTCAGATGTGATACTTGGTAAGTGCAGGAATAAACCCAGCTGCAAAGTGGCTCCACAGCTGTGCAGTCACATCTACATTGTGTCGCGTGTGAGCTGCTCCGACCTGTAGGATCCTTGCCAGGTAAGGGGTTTGTGGACATTGGCTTGTAGATGAAATGGTTTCTCTCCTCCCCCTGCTCAATGAAAGGCTGCAGCCAAACACCACATACCCACTGAGGGAGATTTTTCTACTCTGAGGGATCTAAATCACCATTGAGTGACTGGAGGTTTTAGCTCACAGGTTCCATCAAGCATCTGTTTTCAAGCACAGGAAACGTGACAGCAGCTTTATTTGTTACATAAAAGTTTTCTAAAATGAGACAGGGTCGTGCTGAAGTGACAGCTGCAGACACCCCTTAACACCCATCCCTCTATCTGACCTAAAGTGACTTGAAAAGGAGAATCAGGGTTACAGACACACCTCACTGGTCATTACTGTTTGTGTCAGGCACTTACAGTCCCTCTCATGCAAAGGAGCTACCAAGGCCACAGAGCACAAGTGCGTGAAGCAAAACAGACGGAAGGGCAAGTTTTGTAGTGGCACTACCATTTTAAATAGACATTTTTACCAAATATTTAAGTTAATGACAGAATTTGTTATCTATGCTTATGTAGCTTCACAGCATAGAGACCACAGAGTCCCAAATCAACAACGTTAAAATTCCCCATCTACGCAGGAAGGGGGCAACATGGACAAACTGGCTCAGCTGCAAGACAAACTTCCTCCTAGTCAGCATGTTGTCCTTCTCAAAGGCCTATCCTGGATATAATTAATTTCTGAACAGCATGTCCTAAATCAGAAACACCATATCTGCAAAACATCATATCTGGTTTTGTATAGTTTACTGCAATTTTTGAGGCAGCCACTATACAGTGGTTTTTCATGACCAGCTGGGTAAAATTAGAGGTTGGGGGAAAGAGGAATGAATGAAATTGAGTCCTTATTTGGTACAAAGAAGTGTGATCTTTCTGTATATTATTGCACACACATATATTTCTAAATATATCCATCCCTTTTTATTTATCCATTTCCCTAACAATTTTGAGTCATACATAGACAATTTTGTTCATTTAGAATTCCATCTCTTGTTGCTTATTTCCACTTCAGCAACATCTAGATATGAAAACAAGGGCTCCAAACAGTGTTTATACAAAAAAGTATCCTGTATAGGGATAATACAATTTAGCATTTAGGTATTAGCCAGCAGAAGGCAGAAGTGGGAGGGCTAGGTAATAGCAAGGCTATGACTGCCTTTATTGGTACTCACAGCACTCTGCTTGAGGCAGTCATGACTTTATCCAACCTCAGTCAATAAATTTGGGGGCTTTTACAGTAGCTGTTGAAAGTGGTCTGACCAAATCATATAAGAATCTACTGCAGGGTTTCAAGTGATGTCATTTGTTAGTTTGAAATGTCTTCAAGTTTGAAATGTGTTCAAGATTGTGCAAGGGCCTCACAGATCAGTGCTGTGATAGCTATATAATATTCATGCCTCAGCTGAACAGGAAATTAACCTTAATCAAAGTGTAGCCACAGCTGTAGCTAGATGGTCTACTAATACTGTGAGCCAATTATAGTTGCCTATTTCATGGCACTCCTTATACATGTCCCCTGAACAAAAATTGAAATGATTTTCTGTAGGGAGCAACTTTGCAAAAGCTGACTTTGGATGGGAAGGAATTGAGTGGCTTTAATTTAAGGTTTATTTCTGGATCAACTGGGGCTTAGGGATCAGTGCTGAGATCTTCCAAGCTCATCTCTGTAGCATTGCTTTGACATCATAAGCAACTTAAGCAGTCGCCTCAGGTGTGTGACTCTGTCTGTGCAAAGTTTCGGCTTTATTTGAGCAACAGCTGGAAAATACATGTTTTCCAGCTTGGGCTCCATGAATTGCTCCACATGAAGCAAACACAGACATCTCTGAACAGACAGTTCTGCTGCCACGGGGTGCAGGGGACAGCTACAGCAGGTGCCTGTGCGTGGGAGAGCCTGTCAGATACACTCACGTGTGTGGGGTCAGCCAGGGAGGAAATTCCCCCCTCTGTGGTCTTAGAAGTAGTTATAACAAGTAACAGTCACTTTGTTACAAAACAGCGAGGGGCAGTTGTGGTTATGCCATTCCTGGTGAAACCCGTGTTTTCTGTGAAATTGTCACAGCCTCCAGGGAACACGAGGCTGCAAACTGCCTGTCTTTGCTGGCTGGCAGATACCCCACAGACACTGTTCTTACTTCCCTGCTGGGAATTCCAGGCTCGGGGCAGAGGCTGCAGCTGCGAGCTGGGTGGGACCAGATGAGTCACCTGCTCATCTTCTGGCTTGGGCTGTTTTGGCATTGACTGTTGGACCCCATAAAAGTAATCTTTTTGTACGCATGCTTAACTCCACATATGACGTACTTTTAATTTTAGTGTTGCCATTATTAAAAATACTTTCCCTTGAGAAGAGACAGAGTACCAGTAGTGGTACCTAGTGATACTGAACAGATGTTGCCGAATTAAAAATAGAGTTGGCTGTTATCTGTGGCCAACTCCTTCAGTCTCGTAAAAATTTGCATGATGTTCTCTCTTTACAAGCCAAACTTGAAACTGAGAAAAGCAATTAAGAGAGTCATTGTAAAGGGGCATGGAAATTACCAACAGCTGAAACAGAAACTGAGAAAAGAATAGAGCTCCAGATTTATTTTTTTTATTTTCCACATAGGTAGATTATTTAAATGAATGGCAAACTCCAAGTCATAGAACCAACACTGAAATGCAGCTGAGTTTACAGAACCTGGCCTCCATCTCTCCTCCTTTCAGTAATCCATTAGTCTGCTCAACTCCTGTCTCATTTCTTTTGGAAAACAGTTTAAACAAATAAACTATCTTGGAAATCTGGCTTAAGAATTGCTCAAAGGGTAACCACTGGAACATGTGATCCTGGTTCT